ACTAACCATAGGTTATGCATATGCACACATTATTACAATCCACTATCCATAGGTGATGCTTATGCACACTATATCAATCCACTAACCATAGGTTATGCATATATACACTATATCAATCCACTAACCATAGGTTATGCATATAGACACTTTATCAATCCACTAACCATAGGTGATGCATATGCACACTTTATCAATCCACTAACCATAGGTTATGTATATGCACACTATATCAATCCACTAACCATAGGTGATGCTTATGCACACTTTATTGATTCTGCATGTATGAGCTGTTTCATACAGTCTCGCGCATAAGGAACAAGATCACAGCCATGACTGTGTACATGCGGTTTTCGGCTTCAGGGAAAACCAGCGACCGTTTACTGTAGAAGACCTCGTCATCCACCTCCTCAGGATGTCTGCACACAGGCATGTGGCGTTGTTTATCATCAGTATAGTGTATGTGTGTGTGTATGTATCTATATATCTATGCCAATATCGATATATCGATATATCTATATCTATATCTATATATCGATATCTATATTTATATCGATGTATCTATATTTAAATCTATAACTATATTTATATCTATAACTATAACTAGGATATAGATATTGTGTGTGTATTATATATAAATATATCAACGATCAGACGTAGATGGTCTCTTTAGTATATTGTGTTTTACTTAAGGAACGTACGTCTGGTATAGCAAGAGATCGATAATAACAAAAACATCGTATCGCATGTGTGGGAATAGCATCCGAAAACGCTGCATTTGTCTGTAGAATAATAATACTACTTGTATTTTTTCGTTGCTATTGCAACGATCTGCACTCAGGCAGTTCTCATAACTTTATTTCCGAATAGATTTCGGTTCATGAATAAACAGATTCGTATTCATACAGTCAAAGATATAAATGATTTGTACCCACAAACGTATTTATCAGTATGCATATACATTTACATAGGCAATAATAGTAACACATAACGCACATATGCATGAAACGGTAATATATATATATATACTATATATATATATATACTATATATATACATATAATATATACTATATACATATACATAACATATATATATACTATATATAAATAAATATACATACATACACACATACATAAATACATATATATATATTATATATACATTATATATATATATATATATATAGTATACGTGTGGGCTCATGCACAAAAAGGTGTTAAACTTGTAGACACCAGAAGTAGAATCACGCATGTAAATGCCTAAGGAAAGATGTATTGAGCCTTTAGTACCACCATACATGCACAAAAATGAATGTATATATATATGTATTATGTATGTATGTATGTATGTATGTAAGTATGTATTTAAATACATGCACACAAAAGTATACACGTATGTATATATGTATATATATATTTAAATTCATGCACACAAATGTATGTATGTATATATGTTTTCAAATACATGTACACATGCGTCTACCTGGGAAGACAGTGCAGAAAGTGCCAGTCGCTGTCCGCTCCTTTGCACAGCTCTTCCGTCACCTGATAGCCCTCAAACGACTTAAGTTTCTCGTCTTTCTTGTGTTCATCACCCATGCTCACCTGTGGAGTGCACACGTGGTATGTAAGAGAATGTGTATGTATAAGGATGTATATATATATATATATGTACACGCGCCATTGAATTTGTGCGTTGCATTGCGAGGGTAGGTAAGTGTTGCACACCGGACTATATAAACCAATAAACCGTAAAACCTACGCGGCATGTAGATCGCTACTATGGTGAGTGACGTGTACTCTATGAACATAACTTATTGTCGTGTGAGTATATTGCTCCTTTGTTTCAGTGATCATATAACAAACACCTACGTGACCACCATACGGAAATCGAATACGGCTGTATGTTTTAGAGGAGAGTACGTAATGTATACCTGTAAAAGCTAAATATACATACATACATATATATATATATTGTATTCTGTGTATTCGTGTGTTTCCGAGCGTGTCTACACAAACTACGATCATAGGCAGCTTACGGTCGAACTTTAAAATACACATACACACACACGTATTAAAAAATGGACACACAATTCGTAAATACACAAACACATGCATGTAATAAAGCACATGCACAATTTATGAATTCATGCACAAATATATTTACTAAAGCATGTACACACATATGTGTATTGAAGCATGTACACACATACATATATAGATACACACACACATACACAAAGTAAAATTTGTACACACATGCATTTAGAAATATATCTATATATATAAATATATATTCATATACAGATGTATAAGTATATATAACCATGTGCGTGCATTCATAGATACACACACACATACCCATGTGTCGGTTGTTATGAAGTCAGCGCCCTCCACCGCTACCTTGGGGTCATTTGTGTATGTAATCTCAGCGCCACTCTCTTTGCACATATCCTTGGCGTCTTCAACTACCTCATCCTATAATGCATATATATATAAAAGTATAAAAGTAGAAGTACATATGTATAAAAGTCGAAATACATATATATAGTTGAATATATATGCAAAAGAGAGTGGACAATTAGCTCTAAACTGCAGCATTTCAAAAGTACATAGGAACGTTTGTCTATGCATATGTACCTGTCACTATGACATGTACCTGTCATTATGATATATATATATATATGAGTGTGTGCGTGTGCACCAGTTATCTAACTAATCTCATACAGCACACAACCACATCCAAATGATCAGTAAACATCTGTGGATCTGGAGACGTCATTTCGCTCTACGCGCACAGATTGCCTGCGCTGCCCAATGAAATGGCCGGGATGTAACCCTAAACCCTAAAATCGGCTGCTTTGCCCAATGAAATGGTCGGGTTGTCTCTAGCGATAAAATGATGAGTCATGCCACAACCACTCACGTTGAACGAAGCCACCATCGATGTTTCTGGCGCAACACTTACACAGTGAATTCGGGAGAGAAGGGCGAGGGGGTGTTACATATACACCTCACGCAACACAGACCGTACATGACACGGCAAGGCGTGTTATCTCCGCAACAAGGACAGTACACAAAACGGGAAGTATTCTTTGTCTGTATCAGTGTGTTGGTGTGTTTCTGTTGGTGTGTTGTGAATGTTGCCGTGTGTTTCTGTTGGTGTGTTGTGAATGTCGCTGTGTGTTTCTGTCGATGTGTTGTGAATGTCGCTGTGTGTTACTGTTGAACATACCAGGCACTCATATCCTTTTGGTGCGGCTACGGCCATGTCCACACCCAACTTCGCACAAGCGATGACCAGAGAGTGTGTCACGTTGTTGTTCCCGTCTCCTACCCTGTATGGTGTACATATTAATTGGGGTTAAAACGTCTATCCATGTCGGCTTATACTAGAATTCATACACATGCCAATTGCGTTTGAAACGCATTGACGATATTAGAATGCATTATACATGCCAACTACGTTTTTTAGCCTTCTAGAATTTTTCGGGATTTCCGAGTCCAATTATTACAGTCAAAATTTGGTGGGATGGAAATTTGGGTTTAGTTAATGCCAATTGCTACTAGAATGTATATACCTTTCAGTTAATAGTACAAAGTATATAAAGCACAAAATGACGAAATAAAACACACAGCAAGTATAGTATAAGTCAAGTGTACTCCCTGATACACATACACATACTCATATATATGTGTATATAAATATATATATATATATATATAATATATATATATATATGGAAATATAAATATAAATATATAGTCGACCTACCATGCCACCTTCAGCTTGCGGTCCTTTGTGGGGTGTTTGGGGAAGGACGGGTAGACCTAATGGGTGTGCGGGGGATCGATAGAGATTGCGATGTAATGAGTGAGGTGAGTGGCACTGAGCTGAGCAACGTGGACTGAATTTGGGCGACATAGGGATATAGGGAAGGTAGAACTGGAATTGGAATAAAGTATGGTCGTGTGTAGCAAACATATGGATACACATACGGGTTGGGTTAATACCACCTACACATAAGGGTTGGCTTGTTATTACCACATATACATAAGGGTTGGCTTGTTATTACCACCTACACAGAA